CCTGGAGATTAATCAGAACGCAGAGAGTATGACAGAGCTGCTATACAAAATAAAATCACTATTGCTACCTAAATTAGGTTATCATGTCAAAGAACAGATGAAATTGTGACATTTTAGCAGTCAACATTTGTTTGATTTGTTTATGCTCAGGTAGGAAAATCACTTCCTTTCATTGCTGTAAGAAGACAATAATTGATTGTCAGTTTTGCTACAGGTGTCAAGCAATGTAGGTAATGTCTTCAATGAGCATCCTAAGGTAGGCAATGAAAAGGGCAATATTAAAAAAAAATATCAGCAATATTGCTGAGTACTGCATAGTACATTACCCAGAGGTATTGGGGAGATGTGTTAGTCTAACTTCTCCTTCTTGTATTTCGCCTTACTGGACATTTCCACAGGTGAATCGATACGAGGCATAGATTAATGCTAACTTTACTCTGCTGGGCTCATTTTGGATTCCATGACTATTTACTACACAGAAGCAGTGATGTAGCATGAAAACCATTCTGGGTGGTTTCTACATGGACCTTCACACAACAAATGAATTCAGTTAATAACATCAAGTATATGTCTACATACAGAATGTTGACCAGTTAAGTCTTGTTAGTGTAAAGTGGCATTTATTTAAAAGTAATCCAATTAAATTCTATAGTTAGCATCTGTAGGAAAACCCAGATAATTAAGAAAATCTCTTACTTCATGTAGTGAAGATTATCACATCAAATCAAAGCCTTGCTGTCTTATTCAGGACAGCCACAAAAACAAGCTAGTCACAGACTAAACCTGTTAGGACTGGAGTTTCATAAAAAAAAAAAAAAAAAAAAAAAAAAAGTCAAATAAGCACATCGTAAAAGCCTTTCAAATCTCAGGATATTTCAGACTGACAGTTAAGCAAATTTGAAAAATGATTACATTTTTCAAATTTGAAAAATTTTAAATGGTTAAATTGTATTACATTTTCTGTTTCAGACAGAAAATGTAATACAAATGAAAAAAAAAAATGTTATTCAGTGAGTAGATGTTGTCTAAACCAACTCAGATGCAACAGCCTGGCTCCATCATCAAAAATCAGTCAAAGGGACCCAAACACAAGCACAAGACCAGTAGTTGAGGCTGGTTTATAATGTCTGATGCATCTAGAAAATGATGTTATTTTGGCGACTTAGATCTTAAGGTAATGCTTAGCAACATTACTCTGCACATTGTAATGTAAAAATCCAGTTCTATAATGTTTATATTTTCATATTCTAAGTCTACATTTGCACTACAACGTATTAGCATCCTGCTACCTTTGGTTATGTCACTCATTTTTTGCTGATTGCTGTTTTGAAGGAACCAGGCAAAGGTAGACAGATGTGACTGGTGATTCAGAATAAATAACTGTTTTGTGCTTTGAACATGTTAATTTGTGTAAAAAAAAACAAAAAAACAGTCACGATCAAAGAAGATTGAACATCTTAGGCATTTTCTTTACTAAAGGTGATCGCCGGTTTTCGGTTGTATGTTGAAGCCATTCTTAAGCAAGGTGCATTCTCCCGCTTAGTCAACAGCGGTACTGTGTAGACTAAGCATTACATATTCATTTAGGTTATGTCACAATTCAACAATACGTGACATAAAACGGTCAGATTTATTTTTAAAAATGAGTCAGCAGTGATCCACACACGCTGCTTTTGGTCCATGTTATGGCACATTTAACTCTGAATCCTTTCAGCAGTGGAAAATGTTAGAACAAGGAATTCACTTCACCATAATCTGTTCAGCTTTTGATCCTGTGGAAGTGAAGCCTGAGAGAATGGGGTGACTATGTAAACCTACTGGAAAATAAAAAGAAACCCAGAAGAACGGATCAACAGGGTAGGCGTTACAAAGATCAGCGATAAGATCGACTCTCTTCCCATCAGCTTTTTATGTTCAGGTGCTTTCAGGTTCTCAGTGAAGTAGGTGGCAAAACTGAGGAGAAGAGGTGGATTTTATTACACCAGAAGAACATGAAGTCTGAAAATGGTTGGAAAAAGAAAGAAATGTTAACACAAGAGATGAGAGGCTCAGATGGAAATACAGCAGACAAAATTAAAATATAAACCATAAACAGCTCACACATGACCCTAAAGGTAAAGCGGGAAAAACACAAACTGCTCTGTACGAACTGGAAGTAATTCATCTCTCATCCACATCTTCTTCATTTTTTTTTAGATCTATAAATCTGCTTTGAGGTACTGGAACGTTTTCAGGGAATTTAAAACCTGAAATTGCACTTTTGCTCATGTAAGAAAGGAAATGAACGTAAAACAGACATCAAAGTGTTTAACATGATCTATACACAGTTTAATTTTAAATAAAATATCTCCTTTAAAACCCAATTCAACCTTAAAATCTAAACAGCATAGCTTGAGTTGTCAGTAAGAACTGTTTACATGCTGTTATTTTGCAACCTCAGTAAATTATGTTTATTTTGCATATGTAGAAACATGCCTCGACATTCACAGACTACGAGACAGACAGATTTTCCACGGTAGCACATCAATAAGAACCTAAGGCAGCAACCAAAAGGCCACAGGGAGGAGCCTCATTAGCAGGATGTCTGCATTTTGGTGTCCTATTAATGGGGAAGCTGCTTTCAGCAAATTATTACCTATTTTGCATAATGTTTTCCTTCCCTTGCCCTTCTGAAGTTCTTCAAGGAAAACATGCAGGATCATTTTGCAAATGCAATTTTGTAGTTTTTCAACCCAATCCGTCTCTTTGCTTCTAATCAAAAATAATTTCAATTTAGAGCCACAAATAATAAGCTAGCACCAACTCAGAGAGGAAAATATTATGTTTGCGAAAAAGGTTTTATTCTGAGAAAAACATTGCTGAACATTTAAAATGCCACATTAGTGAACCAGTGGATTGTTTGATGTTGTTTATTTGTGGCAGTGAGAGTGTTAATTACATCTTGGATGACTGAATTCAGTAGCAAGTGATGCATCCAGATTAAGAATAATTCACGCTCAGACTTTTACATAATAAGTAGTAAATATGCCTTATCTACACTATCATTATTTGCAAAAATGCTCGCAACCAAACTTTTAAAAGAAAATAAAAATAAAATAAAAAAACTATTTGTCATAAGGACTTCTTCAAGTTTGTTTTCTATTTGATTAGCATGATATGAGTTCCTTACTGTGTTACAGTTTTATGCAGCACACATTATATGAATGACACTCTAGATTTAAATTTAGATAATTCTTAGGCCTTTCAATTTATTCCTGTTAATTAAACTGTATAACCTGATTAAGTCTAATCATTTCGATGTGCAGTTGTATGCAGTTGTAGCAAAACCAAGGAAGATAAAATCATGTCAGACAACATGGATGTTTGGTGAAGAGAAGTGACAATTACAAGGGTGGGAAAGTTTTCTTGTGTAGAGAACTAAGGACTATGACAGAAGCCTGACTGGGTGTGGAAGTGAGAAGATTTATAACAAACCTTATTGAAAAACTATTGAAAACATGTTGTAAAAAGATGACCTGTGGTTTCTCTCACTTATGAGAGCTGGAAGATCACCTCTGTGAACTTACAATGCCAAGACAGAGAGGGATGACAAAAGTAGAAGATGTAGATAAAACGAAAAGATGGAAAATGAATTAACACATACTGACAAAAAGGTGAGGGAATCAGAAAGATGACAACAAAATATATAGAAACAAGATAAGATCATAGAAAGTAGATAGTGAAGGATATAATGAAAGGAATGAATGAAAATACAAAAGTGAGAGGAAGAAGGGTGAGAAATAAAAAAGTAAGTAGAAATTGGCATAAAAGAGTGGAAAACAGTGATATGACATAAAAAAAGGACAAAGGGGAAAAAGTAAGTAGAATGAGTTGTTCAAAGATAAAAGGAGGGGTATGGAAGCAATTTGGGGAAAGAGGAGAAAGACTGGCGGGTTAAGGCTAAAATGGAACTACTGAGGAAGAGGAAATGGGAATAAGGCTACAGATAAAACAGAAAAAAGGGAGCGGGTTAAAGGTGCAGAGTAAAATAAAGAAAGAGGAAAAGCAGTAATAAATGGTGAAAAAAGGAAGAAGAGGGGGTTATGAAAAAGAAATGAGATAAAGAAGAGAAGCTAAAAGGAGTTAGAGCAGGAAAAATTAACTGTCCTTTCCTATGGCTCTCATGGGAGCCTCAATCTCTGCTGTGTCTAATTTAAATAAAGGGCCTGGAGTTGGAGCATAAATGTGTGTTTTGTATGTGTGCACATGGTTATAACTCCCAGTGGGTACTTTATCCCAATTCCACACCAACCATTTGTGCTTGGTGTCACAGAAACAAGTTCAGACTTTAACCCAGTCCAGTTCATACCTGAGCGATAACGGCACCAGCTCGAATGGGAAGACGGGTGAAAACTGGCTGAGCAGAGAGGCTGGGTCAAAACAATAAAATACATTGATCTGTAACTTGTACTTAGAATACAGTAATGAGAATGAAACAGCCCACTACATGATTATCTAAATGACAGCGCCAAATGTAGACAAATCTTTGCACCCACTTTAGGCTGAATAGTCACAGCACCGAGTTTTAGGCATTCTTCATGTCTCCAAGCAAGACTGTTGAGCTAAACACACTGATTTTGCAGTAAATTATCTCTAGGATGATTTATTTCCAGTCAGTTTGAATACTCAGAGCTTTGCATCACTCACTTTCTGTGTTGTTTTCTACACGCAGTCTTAACGTGTATAAATAAAACCAAAAGCCACATTATTATGATAAAATATGTTCCTAAGAAGCTGTATACATTAACTTGTAATGTGCTGTGAACAGTATTTAGACCTTTTACTCATCATGATCTGCATCTTCTGCTCTGTGACGTTTGCAGCTGTGTCAGACAGAAACCTTTCCACAGAAAGAAAATAATCGGTTTTCGCAGCTTTCTTGATTGAAATTATGAGTCTGTACTTAGCATTTCTGAACACAAGGTGAGTACTTGAACTACGCTTTGAGTGATTTTATGTACCTGTTTCACAGCGGCGTCCTGTAAATCCTGAAGGACAAACACACGTGTTTGGAGACACGCAGGTCCCTCCACTCCGACAACCATCTTCACAGAAAGCTGGAAAAACAAACAGCAATGAGTCAGTAAAGTCTCTCAGCATGTCATGGATGTGCTGCCAGGCATTAAGCCACAAAAGGCTTTGAATCTGTGCAGTTAAACTCTGTGTGAAGTGGTACGGCATGTTAAGGCACAAAGCACCCCACGGATTGCCTTAATAGAAGCATTACAGAACTGACAATGTTTCCGTTTCTTTTATTTGTATGGGGCTAAAACCTTTAATTAAAATTTCCCTCTGGCATTTTCAAATAAAAGGTAGCATTTGTTTGTGTAGTCATTCTTAAAATGACTGTGGATTTGCTACATTTAATCATGAGGTAGGCTGGCCTTTACTTTAAAAGCCGGCAACAAGAAGTGTTTTTCAGAACTGAAACTATGACAACTAACAGATCTCCGCATTTATGCTCCCTTATGCATAATTGTAAGTTTATAGCAAAATTTGCCCACAAAAGCAGTCAAACTCCCACCTGCAGGTGGCAGTATTTCTTACTTTTACTTCACTGATCATTGTGTCTACATGTAGTCTTCATCTCATCTTTTGTCTCCTATGTAGATTTTGGAAGGGTTCAACAATAAAAACATCCCACAATTCCTTGCAAATATTTAAAAGTAGTACAAAGAAAATGTCTGATTTGATTGCAAAAAAAAATAAAAAAAAAAATCACAAAACAAAATTGTGAAATCTTTCAAGCAGTAAGAAACATTGAAGATTTTTAATAATTTCATTTAAACCTTCAAACTAACAGAAGGTAACAATCCTGAAATTTGAAATCCAATCAATGCAAGTATCTTTGCAAGTCACACTTCAACACATCAGTGGTTTCAACACAAACACTCAGAACTCAAAGTTGTACACCATGCAAGTCGATAAAAAAAGTCACTGTGGCAATAAGGCTGGAACTAAAATAGGCATCAGTCATCCAAACATAATAGCATTCACTAATTATGACATTTCTAACCATTTTTGGAGGTAATAGACAGTTAAAAATCAGGTTAAATGCACTGATTAATCAGGAGTTTTTCTTCTTTCTCTAAAATCACGAGATGCAAGTAAACAGCTTGCACTACTCTGTGTTCTTATATCTTTTTTTCTGTATAACTGTAAATAAAAATACTGGCAGTTAATCAAGGCAGTCCTGATTTACTGTCTTGCTTTGTTGCAGCAAAGCAAATAGGATAAATAGACAAAACCTGATGAAGTGTTTAATGTGTTAGCTCAAAATGTGACTTTTTCATTTATTGTGCAACTTATTCTACATTTACTAAAATAGTAAAGATGAGACAAGAAATAGGTGCAATATTTTTAAAAAGATCAAAAAGTGAGAACAAAACAGCCAAAAATACATACTTAGTAAATGGTTTTAAAGTGTAAAGGATAAAATCAAAAACAGGGCAGGCTTAATTGAGTAAGATAATTAAACAGAAATTACTCAAGTAGTTCTAAGCTTAATTAATGACATGATTCAAGAGATGAGCCTTAATAGGTTGAAAAGCCTATTTAAAGTCACATACCGTAGGGCGTGTGAGCAAAATATCTGTGTGCAGCGGCTTGTCTCATATTAGTTTATGATACCAAAGAAAGACTATTTGTCTGCATAAATTATCATTATAACAATTTGGATAAAAGGAGGCTAAAAATACAAACAACAGCATAGCAATAAATAACAGGAGAACCCAGAGCCAGGAGCCATTAGACCTATTCATCTGACTGGCTCTACTATTCACGAACTTTTATCAGGCCCTCATTAGGAGCCCATTGCCTCTGCACTAATAAACCTCACTCCTAAAAATTAATTACATTTATATTGGCACGATTCATTTCCTGCTATAATTATCATTTCAACTTGATTAGCAAAATGCTGCCGGCCAGTTCAACTAAAGGCACAATGAGACGGAGGGGCATCATCACCAGATCAGTGTGATGAGTGGGATTTTCTAAAGTCATACTGGAAATGAACGCATTCCCAGTATGAGTTTATCCCAGTATATTCCAGTTTACAGTTGCCTCCATCACAGCAAAAAGTAAGGCTCAATAGGCATTTCCTGGAATGTTATTTCTACTGGCATTTATAAGATCTGCTTCTTCATTTTGTTGAATTAAAAAGTTCAGTAGATTCAAATTCTGTGAATTAATTGTTTATTGAAAACTTTTGTCTAATTGTAAAAGTTGTAATTCCCTCATATTCAGTTGATCCAGTGTCCCCATTTTAATTTATCATTTTAGCTTCCAAGTGTCAATGTTACCAGGACCGGCGCAACAGGAACAGATGCAGTCTGTCCCGGGGTTGTGGGGAAACGAAAACCTTCCTTCAATATACTCATCTTGACCTCCAGCTAAACCATCTCTCTGCTTAAGTGAGACGGTTGCTGACTCGTGACTTCCTGAGACATGCTTATACTCATAGATTTGCTATTTGACTTCCCCATTACATGCCATAGATTGCTTTCCAGTGGGGTGGTAAGAATGAAATCATTCCACTCTGCGTCATGGCAAGCCACTGCATTTACGTTCGTTGGGCATCCAGGGAGCCATCCCGGAATTAAGAGCAGGAAAGTCAGTGAATATTCCACAATTTACATTGTGTTATTAAGGAAAATAAAACAGTCGTAAAACTGGTAGAACAGAACTGATGTCACGATTAGCATCTATGCTGGTTTAGCAACAGTAGCATGGTGCAGATTGTAACCTCCTAATCATCACATATTCAAGACATTATGACCTCATAGATTTAAGAAAATTATGTTTAATTTCCCTCTATAAGTGTTTTGTGTTTCAGAAAAGTGAACTCTAGGATTTCAACAAAAAACATCAGGAACGGCAAAAGTGCCCAGAGCAGCTAGCTAACTTTGTTTTGCTGAGCAGCACATCTTTAATGAACCGATCATTCCAAAAAGCCAGTCAGGTAAACCTGTTGCTGTCATAGAACCAACCCAGGATGTTGATATCATAATATATGTTGGAACAGATACTAATTGTCTCTCCACTGGCCACAGAACTGAAACATATACCACTCTACTGCAATACAGCAAAAATGAACGCATAGCAGATCAAGTTTGCTTTTTTTATGGCATTCAAAGATCAGGACTAAATAGAGAATAAAATAATACCTTTATTCTCCAGATGACCACAGCTTTTAAGGACAGTTTGACATTTTCTTGTGTAGTCACTGTAACTTAGAAACAACATGCTCTACCATTTAGAAACCACTGCTGTATGGAAATGTTTCACAAATGTCACAGCAGGAAGTAAGTGACAATGTTACTTCATTAATGGCAGCAGACCTAAACTGATCATATTAGCTAATAACTGACCAGGAGGGAGTCATAGATTATGCATGAAACATAACATTTAACTTTCAGCTTAAGAGAGACATTTTCTTTTTTAGTTAAACTAAAAAAGAAAATGAGAGAATGACACCTTGGCAAAAGTCAAATCCTGTGGTTGAAACACAGTAGCATCCTCAAGATTGTAGAGCTTTCAAAAACTTTATGAATGTTTAAACACACATAATTTTAGATAAATGGCAAGATTTGAAACACAACCCAAAAACCTTTGGGCTGTAAGAGTTGCGATCACTGTAAGTATTAAACATTCTGAAAAGAAATTGAAATATACTTTTGATATTTGATTATGCATTTGATGTAGTCATCTTAATGTTAAAGCATAATTTTAAATGACAAAATTAAGCCACGTTTCAGAAAAGCATCTAATTCAAAGAGTAAAATGCAGCAGTTAGCTGCATTTTCACTACAAATGTCTGCAAAACTTCATGAATATTATGCTGATTTTGCAATTGCTGTGCTTCCATTAAATAAGAAATGCAAATAAAATCACATGTGAATAAGTTTGTTCCTGTTGTCTTCTGGCTGTGATGCAAAAAAAGTTTTTAAATTGCAGTTTTGCAAATGAAACCTTTTCCAATGTGGCCAAAAAAACTCTTGGTAGCGCCAAAATGTTTTTCAAACATGGCATTTTTCCATTAAGCAAAGTAATTTTTGAAATGTCAAGTTGTGTATCTATATGGTCAAGGGAAATGCAGCTGCAGATTCTGCAAAGAAAGTAAATGTCCTGATTTACACATATAGATTTATAGTAAAGATAATCTTTACAATAAATATAAACTGTAGAAATTAGATTATATGGATAAAGATATGAAGTGGTCTTAGCAGCATGTCTGGGAGTTGCTTTAAACTTCTTTCCAACTAAGAAACATGTGAATGTGTGTAGAGTCTGGCCTTGCTGCATAAACAATATGCATGCTCAAATGACTGCCTGTGGCTGATCATTAGTCTGCAGCGTTCCACTCCACTTTTTAGTATTGACTCAGCTCACCTGAGACATCAGGCAACATAGTTAAAAGGATTTGATTTCTATCTTTACTTTTTAAGAAAGAGGTTTTTTTTTGTAGAGGTTTTAAATCTATAAGTATATCTTCCAAGAGATGCAGCTTCCAATGAAAAGTCAGAGAGAAAGCACAATAGAGCATGCATATCCCTCGTGAAAACACCATTCATTACTTCTGAAAGAGCACCTTGATAATGGATGAACACAGCCTCTCCACTCTCTCATCTGCAACCCTAATCTCAGAGGACGAAAGATGCCTCCTGCCTCTTTGTTGCACAGGATGTGTATAATTTTTGCTGAGCTTTCTCACTAATGAATGCACAACAGCCAGCATAAACACAGACACAGAGGTTTACCGTCTGCTGCAAGAGAGGGCTGAGGAGACCAAAGCAAGAACTGAGAAAGAAGTACTGCCAGCCCTTTTAGTCATACAAATGCCTCACTTCGTTATGCATCAGGGTAAACGTAGTTCACCTTTAGCAGAACTCTCTGTTGGGCATTTTACCGAACATCACAGATAATGACTGCACTTACAAGACAATAAGAGCTTGGGCCAGGCCGTCGGCATGGATTAAAGATGCATTAAAGAAGGTTTTTACTGCCATAATGTATCTGCAGAGCGTTGAAAGGGTGGTTGATCAATACTGCTGACATG